AAAAAAAGAGTGTGTTCCGGTTAGCATTCCTTTTGCCTCAGTCAGGCAGATATTGTCTAATATGCTGAAGACTGGTTTGTGGCAGTCTTTTTTTCTCGGTTATGAAATACTTGGAGATGTCAGAAGTGATGCAGCACAACAAGGCAGAGAAGCAAGTGCCTTTGGTCGCAGTCCTTTAACTCACAGGAACATAAAGGGTGCTCAGTACCTTGTACATTTTCATATTTAAGAGGGTATAGACAAGAGAAACCTTTTACCATAGCGGGAGTTTAATTTCACAGTCTTCATACGAATAAGAAAGATTAGCATGAATTTTGGAAGAGTTAATATGCAAGGAGGATGATTTGGGAACATTTGTTTTATAAATGGGACAAAATAATCATATTTTTGTTTTGTTTTTCTTGAACAAAAAGCTAGAAAATACTTTTTTTTTTTAAATTATAGTGTTTGGAGTTAATCAGAGAAATAAAGGAGGGGCTGATACTTTTCTCGCTGCTTGCAAATTGTAAATTGCAGTTATTCGCAATCATGCTTATAGCTGGCGTGGGTTCATGTGCATAATCAGCTGCTTTTTGAATGCATGTTCTATTGTTCTGTTTTATTTATGGATTCAGTTGTGATGAGAAAGATGTTATCAAGTTGTTTGGATGAAGCCTTGGAAATGTCTTTTAGGAGTTTTGAAAATCAGTGAGTACCTGGAGTTTGGGGTAGAAAGCGGGGCTGTGTGTAGCACTGGAAATTTAGATGAAAAAGTTGAAGAGTTTCCAGCCTCAAAATGGAAGGTCAAATTCTGCTTTCAGACTTTGCGGTGCATGAGCCAGCAAAATTCTGGACTGACACAGGCGCATTGTTATCGTCCAGTTGAAATCTAGCCAGATCCGAAAGCCCTGAGGTCAGGAGTCATGCCATCGATTTCAGCACCCGGACCTGTTAGCGGTCTGCTCTGACCCCACTCCTGGTGGAACAGGAGGCCGAATTTCTACCTCCAGTCTCCTTGCACAAATGATGTGGCAGCAGACTTTTGGTGCTCATTATCAGCACTAATCTTCTGATTGATGCGAGTTTGCTTATGTGATTATTTTTCTTAATAGCTACGGTTATGTGCCAAGACCATTAGAGGGGACGTCGGGCTGCTCAGGAGAGGCTTGCCCTGTGTTACTGGTTCCACTGTCTTGCGTGCTGAATCCACTTCGGCAAGTCTGCACTTTCTAAAATCTTTGTTTTTCCCTCCACGTTTTGTCTTAATCTGCTTAAACTGCTTGCCTTTCTGGGAAGGCATCAGTTCTGTGTTTGTAAATATACAGTGATGCAGGACTTCAGTCTTTTTGGGACTGACAGTGGCTGGACACAAATAACAGTAATTTCTCTCTCAGTTTTTTTTTTTTTTCCCCTATGTGCTTTTCAATGAAAACAATATTTTGGCTGAAAACAAGAGCCAGGAGATGAACTTTAACATCATTCAATTCTTGCTGGATGTCTGTGAAAGGCAGAACGGGGGTGGTTGTGTGAGTAGTAACATACACAGGGCGGACTGACTTCTCAGCCTGGCGTGGGAAGGTGCCTTATGCTCAGTCCTCCCACATAAGTGAACTTCTTTACTTGGGTCTTGCCCCCTCCTCCTGTCCAGTGGGAATTATTATTTTAACTGAATTTCATTAGATCAGTCACCACGTTCCACAGCAGATAATAGATGTGTAGAAGGTGTGCATATTGCGGGACAACACCATGCCATGTGCAGCTGCACATGCTTTCTAGATAGGGTTAAAATTCTGTATCAGCTCTCTAAAAAAATCATTAATTTTTAAACAGCAAGGAAATAAACTGGTTGGTTAGGTACTATGCAGGGAGCTTTTAATTAAAAGATGTTTAAATCTGATTCTCTCAACTGTCAAAGGATTGAATTCATGAATTATGTCTGCTACAGTTGTGGATTTTTTTTTTTTTAGTAACAGTGTATTTAAGTTCTTTCTGTGCACTGCCGTAGGGGATAGATGGTAGCTCCTGACAGATTCAAACACAGCTGGCTGAGAACGCTGCTAGTGATGGATGAACGATGTCTTTGTTAATGCCCCTGTATACATAAATGATGGTCTTGCTTTCTTTATTTATAAGATGTATCCAATTACACATCTCAGAGCAAATGTCCACCATTCAGTAAAGCGCACAATATTGGCATTAAAAAGACAATCCCTGAAATCAGCGATCAATGCATTTTCCTCACTCTCTGGAGAGAGATTGAAATAAGAGGTAAACCTAAAATTCAGCAAATTCAAGAAGGTTCTTTTGGGACCTGCTCCTCATCTGTAAGAAGTGACTGAAACTCAACCGGGGAAGCTGTGGCCTCTGCTCTGGCTGTAGGCAGAGCTGCCTCTGGAAATGCAGCGCACCAGGTTCACCTAAGATCACCACGTGCCGTGGATGGATCAGTCCCACCAGTACAGCAGGTCAGATTCTGCTGGCAGACAGTGATGGCTAAGGTTCTCTAGGCTGTTACCTCCTGGGATATGTTTTGGTGAAGCGAACCATCCTAAATATTTGAAGTGGGGGAGAATGAATGGTTTTGCCCTTCGTGTAGCTTCAGGCCAGGGCTTGGGGTTTTTTTACTGTGTATCTAAGCTGATCCAATTTAGAACTTGAGATGTCTAACCAACATTAGAAGCTTCACGGTGTAAATTAAGTTAGTTTCTTCTATCAAGTAGGTTAGCTATATACTTAAATATACTTAAATAATTCTTACTATTTTGCTATGAAAGAATTAGTCTGGATTAAGATGAGTGTGAAGATAATTAGGGTGTTAAACACTTTTAGACCTGAGATCTATTTACCCTCTTGGTAGATATCTTACTCAACTAATAGTAGGGTAAATGCATTCTCCCGAGTGGTTTGTATTGAATAGCTAATGCACTGTAAATTCACCCCTACTTTTCTTATGGTAACTTACTTATATAGAAGTATCCTGAATTACAGTTACGGCATAAATTGATAATGTAGCCAAAACCGGAATCTTCTGACCTAGCAAGGAGTAAGCCTCCTGCCCAGTCCTCAGTTCCTAATGCAAAAATATTATCTGTTACAGGGCCACTGGAGTCAGCTAGAAAGCACAAACCAGCCCTACCCAGCCTATCCGTTACAGTGCCAGTGAAAGCAGGCAGCAATAAACACTCCAAAACATTGGGAAAGTTGTGGAGCAGCAGCCCTAAGACAGAGAGAGCTGGCATGCAGATGGAAGTGCAAGAAGCAGCTGAGCTAAGATATGTTGCAGTTTTCACAGGGGTGATTGCTGTTTGGCTTTACCGCTTTTATATTGTCCACCCTTCTTTCCTGATGGTGATAGCCCAGCAGTTTATTAAGCCCCTTCCTAGGGACAGTGGAGAGCAAGCATGCCTTATTCTTTGGTTTTAGCTGCTGTGAAGTGTAGCAAACGTGTGTTTCTCATTCTGTCATGCTGGCTGTCTCTGAAATGTCGTGTTTTCATGTTGGATATGGTAGTTCTGCAAAAATTTATATTTGCAACAAGGTTTAGCAGGACAGAATTGCGACTACTAGGCAAATCATTCCGAGTTCAGTTTGGTGTCTAGGAACAGAGGCTTACTAGTTATTTTTCAGTGGTTTCTGTGCTATTATGTTGTTGTGATAATCTTGGCAGGGATCTGTCACTCTGTGTTGGTATAATTGAAATTTGTTTTCCCTGAGGAATCACTCTGCTGTTTGTTTTATTTGTTTACTGACATTGACAGAGATCCTAATGGCTTTTAAAACCCAATTTGTGCATCACTGAATATCCTCCAAAGAGGAAAATAAAATTAAATTTATCAGTAAAATAGGGTCCCCCATGCAATGCTTTGTCTGGGTCTTAGACTCCACCTGAGCACCTAGCTGTGGGTCTGGAAATGGCATGGTGAGCTGTATCTTCTCTTTATTTCTAATTCTCTCTTCAGGGCTTTTGTCATTAAGATACTTGAAAGGGTAAATGACGATAAGTTATTTAGGGCATCAGTGTAAGTTGACCAGCTTTGCCTTGTGAGAAATAAATTATCTTTAGCTTTTATTAGAAACGAGGTTAAGATAACAAAGCAATAACCACAGTAAAATTCCCCTTTTGGGAGGGTATACATGATGGTATAATTTATTATTGTCATAAATCAGGGTAATTAAGTGTTTAGATTTTTTAAATATAAGATATCAAAGTATTTATGCATTTATTTTGTTTGAAGTCTTTGAAGAATTTCAGTCAGATCATTTGGACTACTCACGTTCATAATGCCACGCTGAACTGTGGTTATGGATAGACGTATGGCTTGTTGCATGCCGTGCTCTAGAGGAGCATGCACACAAAGAAACGATGAGGCATAGGATAGACATTCAGGAACGTGAGACGGAAGGGTGGGTTTCTTTAAGGACTAAAGAATGCAGGATAACTTTTTTAACACCCTCAAAGCTGTGGGTTTGCGTGGGATAAAGATTCAGGTTGGTTTTTTTTTTTATTTTATTGAAATGACTTAGACCATCTCTAATTACTTTTTGACACGCTTCCTTGTCATTCAAGCATATAGGGATTGCCCAGGTTTCAGTGAACTCTGACTTTGAACGTCACAAGGAGATAAGTTTGGAAAATACTGCTGATTTTAAAGGTTATCTGTCAGTTTGTATATATACAACTGTGAGCCAAACCAATCTGACCTCAAACCAGAGCTGTAGTATAATAACACTCTGCCTTTCTTATTGTATATCTCTTTTGCAAATCTCCCTGACTTTGATAGCACTATAATAATAATAGATCTGCAATATTTATGTTGCGTCTTCTAAGGAAGTGTTCTAATGTGCCTTGGAAAGGTGGGTAATTAGTCTTATCTCCTTTTCTACAGAAGGTAAATTAGAGGTGCAGAAAGAGAGCCCAGACCACCTGACTCCCACCTCCTTGTTCTCATTGCTTGGTTCAGTAGTGCAGATCTTGACAATACGCACTTTCAGTCTGATCTATATGTTGTATTGCATTGCAGTGCCCAGAACAAGGATTTTGGCTACTGGTGGTGCATCCCACAATAAAAAGATCTTACAGGTAAGTAGAAAATTAAATCCTTTGAACTGAACTTCCAGTTACCTCTGCATTTTTATTTTGATGTACTGAATCCAAATTACTGCAGCTGCACAGGAAGGTGTGGATATGGGATTGTGACTCTGCTGCAGGGGCTTTTCTTCAGATTTAGTGTGGAAACCGTTAGCCCAATGCTAATTTTGTATTGAACTTTAAAGGTTTTTTTACACTCGACTAGTTTTATGAATGTGTATCTGAAGCACTGGTGATTTCCAGGTCTCATCACTTACATCAAATCAATCAGCAAAGAAATCAAGAAGAGACTTGATACAATACCTGAGATTTTTGTAGTTTTTGTCATTCAGATCAAAGTTGGACCATGGATTTAAACTAGAGGGGGATTTTGCTGGTACTGAACACTCAAAAAACCCCACCCCAAACAAACAAAAAACCCCAAACCAACCCCCAAACCCTGCCCTTGTTGTTCTGAGTATCTGTTACTTATTAGCATTGTGTCACATACTGGGGGGAGGCTACGCTTCTGTATAGTCTGTCCTCCCTCTTCCCACCTTCCTCTTCTGCTGCTGTTGCTGCACATCCAGCCCTGTTTAGCATCCTTCATTTGTCTTCTTGAGAACAGAGTACGGCATGCTCTCTGTTTCTGCGCATTGAGATATGGCAAAGCCTTGCTCACGAGCCTTGCTCTCACCTGCCTTTTGCTATCACAGAACTAGACATCTGGGTTGGGATTTATCTTGCCTGAATCCAGTCATCTGCCATGTGATGCCTGTCTATGATCTGTCAATCCTCTAATAGTCAGGGGAGATCCAGTCAGTTACAGTGCAAAGGAAACTGGATGGTGTTTTAACTTCTCAAACGTAGATGTCTCCCTCCTTTTTAGCCAACGAGCTTTCTGTACTCCACTGACTGCCTTGACAAGCTCTCCTTTGACTAGAGGTGCAGACACAGAGGCTGGAGGTGGGTGTTTACACCAAAAGGTACCTGTCTTAGTCTTGGGCTAAGTCCAATCCCTTTCCATCAGCTAGAGGGAGTCTAGAGGCCAGCCTCAACTACGCACCATATTCTTATCCAATTGCAGTCGTATGAAAGGAAGCTCGTCTGCTCTGCGAAACCTGAACTGGAATAAATGGAGGTTGAAGAGCAAAGAGCAGAAAGCTCTTGCTTTCCTAAGGCATCTAAAACACATTTGTATCACCATTGGTTGCACAGCTGATTGGTACACAACAAATTTGGCATGTTTTGCCTGTAGATGTCACTTGTCTTCATCTGCTTTGGTTATTTTGCTTAGGAACTTGACGTTAGAAAATTAACTGATAGGTTAATTGCTTAAAACATTGGTCCCTACTGGAGTAATTCTACTGAGAATACGTCAGGAAAGAGATTGGATTAATAGACGAGTTTGTTTTTAAAGCTGTATTTCCCCTTTCAGTGCCATTCCTTGCTCTGGAATGAAGGCAGAGAACTGAATGTTCTTATAACATGTAATTCTGCAACGTTTATAGCTGAAAAATTGTGGGGATGGGAGAGTGGTGGCTCTGGTGCTTGGTCTTCATGTGTAACAACACAGCTGCTTTTAAAACTCATTAGAAGTGTCTTAAAATAATATGATCAATACAGTGTCATCCACTTAATTCAATCACTGGTTAATTGGATCCTCCTTTTTAATTTAATCAAAACCTCAGAAACCATATCAGTTGCATGAAGAATAACAGCTTCCACCCTTATCATGGTCAATTTTGGATAATTTGTTCCAGGGCTACAAAAGACTATCATTTAATTAATCAACATTCAGTAACTCCTATATTTTACACTGCAAAGGAGGCAACTTAGGAAAATCTGTTAAAATATATAGTAGGGCAGCTTTCTCCACGGTTCTGGGAAGCTTTTTATAACATACGTGGTGCTTGATTAATGACTACATGAAACACAGTGAAATATTTTAACAGTAAAACCTCTAACAGTTTCTTTTAAAAATATTCATGAGAGAGACTACAGTTTCAAATGACTTGCTAAATATATGAACTTGGAATAATTTTAACTTTATAATCATGTGGCACAAAAAGTAGTTATTATTTGTAGTATCACAGCACTTATTAGCATTCAGTATAGAGTAGAGCTGCATTGTATAAGGCTCCGCAGAGATGAAAAAAAAAAAAAAAGACAAGACCTCTGTTGTCCGAAGGAATGTACAATTCAAGCTTAAGACAAGAAATACCTATTAGAGATGAGATGAAGAAGCAGATGGGGAATGTGCTGAAACAATACGGTAGTATTGGCTGGCAGGGTGGGCAGTGGAACCAGCACTCTGTGACCTTCTAATTTCCAGAGGGCTTTTTAATAGATACCATGATTAATTTTCCATTTGTCCTCTAGCATTGAAGCTCATGTATTGCTCAATGCTTGCAAGTGAAGTTAGGCAATACTTGGCTGTCTCACCAGAAGAGAGTGTTTTAGGTGTATAAGCTCAGGCTTTGATTGGATTCTAGCTAGCAACCAGCCACTTTTATTTAAAATTATGAAAAATGGTGATTTTCAAAGGTTTTGGTTTGCAGATTCCCCACAAACTTTCAGAGAAAGAGGAAAAATCCTTTAGAAATGTCACATACTATTTTTTTCTATAGCATATATGGATTGAATTTTTTAGTCATCTTTTATGAAGCCTTGGGGCCCATGATCAGTAGGGCTGTGAATTCCTGGATCGGGGTTGCAGATCACTGATCCAAATGATCCAAATTCCTGGACACTCTGGCCTTATTTTGGACTTGAGTGTATGGATGTGAATCGGGTAATACACTGTTCCCTTTGGCAAAAATAATAAAACCAGCACGAGTTAAATCTGAATTGTTACCTGCTTCTCGCGTTGCTCAGCCTGAGGGATACCTGCAATCTTAGAGGTGATGAAACCAAAATGGAAAGGGTTTGTTGACAATGTTTTTGGAAAAGAGTTATTGAACTTCCCATGTCCCTATCCAAATATGTCTTCATTTTTCCCCTTCTGTATCTGTTTTCCTAAACCTACACTGTGGGGAAGAGCACATGTACTCTGTGAATGCGCAATGCCTGGTGTTGATTTCAGTGCAGAATGATGTGTGGTTGAATAACTTTAGTATCTGTTGAATATCATAACGAATTCTTTGCCTGTAAAATTTTCGTTGTATTGCTCAAGCCAAGCTGAGCAGTGTCTTGTATATCTTCATAGCTAAGGATCCCTCAAATACAGGAAAATTCCTGGTAGCTGTAGAGACTGTATAACCAGCTCCTGTCTTCCTGCTAACCTTAATATGATGGGAATGGTGGAGGTGAAGAAGACAGGCTTAGCAGGTCTTCATACTGCTGGAGCTTGTATTTTATCAAAGTTAAGAACTGAGGAGCCATGACTGGTTCCTCTCTCCTTCCTTCCCACTTGGCTCAGCCATAAACGTGATGGAAGAAAACAAGGACAAGTTGTGGGTTCCTGAGCAGATCTCCTTGCCCTGATGTAAGCCTTTGGTGTGAGCTGATTGTGTGGTTTATGAGGGAGACGATGCCTGAACCCAGACTCCTCTGAACTTATGATAAAGAGATCTGGAGAGAAATGGGATTTTGTTTCCTGGCTGCAGTTACATCTCTAACTCAGATTTACCAATACCCTGTTGTGTGACAAGTTCAGGACTCGTTGTTGCCTGCAGTGCTTCTTTCCATGGGTACCCAAATGCTTGGCTGGGGTGTATGGTAGTTATTTGTTTTCCTAAGTAGTGATAGGGGATTGCTTATCCCTTGTCTTTCATGGACATGCATAACCGATGCTTTGATACTTCTCAGGTCCTGTCTGATGTGTTCAGCGCACCGGTGTACACTATTGATACCGCCAACTCCGCTTGTTTAGGGAGTGCTTACAGAGCAATTCACGGTAAGACTGTAAGGAGATACTTCTGAGCGGTCTGGGCATTTAATTTCAGTTGGTTAATACCTGGGATTAACATTACTGAAAATGAGGTGAGAATAAAGCTGTGTGGATCTGACTGGAAGGTCACTCAGGTCAAAGAGGGTTTTTTGCTCTTAGTATGCTTGGATCAGACCCAAGAATAACATTTACATTATAATTTAAGTCTGGTTGCTGCTTCTCAAGCAAGGGATAGGACCTGGAAACTGTTGATACTGACAGGGGAAGGTCTAGGACCTTAATGTGTTGAGTTGCTACCTCCATGTGCCGCTCTTGGAGGAATACAGCCAACTGAAGGTGTTGGTGTAGCCTGCTGCCCCAGTTTGTGGAGCAGGCTGTAAACTGGATGGCTGAAATGGTCCAACCAAACAAAAGATCAGTCTTAGTAAAGAAGATCAGAGATGGCAGGGGCGACAGGACCAGTAATACTGCTGGCCAAGTAAATGTTGTTAAACCTATATCTATCTTCCAGCTTTTAAATGTCAAGACAAAGGATATGCAAGGTGTCCTGGGCTCCATGCTCAAGTATGCACTTTCTCTTGTAAAAGCGTAAATCTTGGGATACTCTTAGGTTGACCAGTCATTTTGCTTGCTGTACTGCATCACTCACTGTAATGCAACATTCCAAGTCCCAGATCTAAAGTGTCAATTAACTTATGCATGCAGGTGTATTAATGTTAATTAAAGCATGCAGGTGTATGTTGAGTGGGCCATCAGCCATTTATGAATTGAATCCCAGGCAGAAAATTTAATTCACATATTTTAAAACAGTTTCTAATATCTTACAGCTAAACAAATCAAGGAATGTGTATCAAATTTGAAGTCCTTATTTAGGCCAACTTTTGTTAGCCTCAGTTTTTCTGATAAGAAGCTTTACGATTTGGACCTTAAGACATGGATAACTTCTGTACAAGTTCATGTAAGATCATGGGATTGCGCAACAAGCATGGAAAAGATAGCATCAGCCATCAGAAGAAATCAGCCAAGTTTTAATTTTAGAAGCAAATTCTGCTGTCACATTATAGCATCTGAAGATGACATGCTCTCTTGCATTTGAAAACAGTGCAGAAAATTGCACAGCCAAAACTGGAGTTGATGCGTTTAATGCACACAGCATGCTCTCCTCTTTATTTCTAGAAAAGCCACAAGGGTTCTGTCAGGCAAAGTACGCTTTTGCAGGACAGTGGAAACAGTGCTGTTACATTATCAGTATGTTTGAAGCCACAATGGGACCATTTTTCCACCTTGGGGGCCAAGTTTCCAAACTGTTTTTCTCTGTACTCAAACTTTGCCTACTGCTTCAGAAGCCACCAGAAGCTTCCCAGCACCTAATGCTGCAGGCAGATTCCTTGTCCATGAATGCATGTGAAATGTCGAGCCGTCATTAAAATTTGTGCAGTTATTTTGTATGTATGGAAGATGTGAATTCCCTTTGCCAGTTTGGCATATGAAATCTTGAGGCTTGGTTGACAGAGCGTTTGAGTGAAGATTTTCCATGCTGATGGAGGGACTCCTTAGCTCAGGTACTCTGCCAGCCAAGCCCCAGGGGCTTGCTGTGTGTGTTTCTAAATGGCATTTTTGATTGATGCCTTCAGTTGACTCACTCTTGGCCAAGCAAAGAAATTGAGTAAAAGTGAAGACTTGCTAATATAAATGAAATATTGATGCCAAGGGCTCCTTAATAATATTACAGTGTACTAGTAGGGTGTTCTGCAGTTAGCCTGGGGTTCTTAGCAGGTGTAACAAGGAACTCCTGAACTGCTGTGATTCACTTGCAAAGCAAAATGCTGTAGTAGCAGAACTCCCCTGTTATTCTGCTTCCTTTTATATAAATATATTTAATAATTTGTAGCATATTTTCTTGACAGTGTTTTCATTTCTCTTCCTTTTTTGTTTAGTCACATTTTGTCCTTGAATCCTTTGCTTCCATATATTTTACTTGCTGTTTACTGCATTGTTGTAACCATAAATAATTACTGATATTGTTGAGTAGCATTTCTGCTGCTTACCTATTCTCCAGGGTACGAATTGAGTGATTGGCAAAAACTCAATCACAGAGTCCCCCCTTCCCAGGCTAACACGTTGGAATGTAAGATCTTCTGCCATTTATCTTTCAATCCTGAATGCTGACTTGACCAGGGAAGATCAATATAATGTATTAATTTGCCAGGGAGTCAAGGCACATCCCTCACCGTGCTTTTTGCATTGATCAGGATTGTGATTCTCATTGCAGGGCTTGTAGCTGAGACGAATGTGTCCTTGGCTGATGTCGTGAAATTAGCACCGGAGCCTAGATTGGCTGTTACACCAACCGCTGGGGCTGAGGAGGTGAGCAAGCTTGGGAATACCATTTTTCTTTTCATTTCCTGTCTGCTTCCAAAGGTAATGGTTTACTAATTCTTCTAGTAAAATAGATTAATTCAAGAAACATTTGGTTACATATTTCTTCCTCCTTGTTGTAAAGATAGATTTGATTTTGAGAGATCTTTAGTGCTGTAATGATGCAATAATCTGAACAGTCCATCCAGGTGATCAGAGAGTGAAATCTGTTCCTTAAGGGACAGAAAAAGTTATAAAATAGGTTGAATTTGGACACAGGTCAGTCAGGTTGTAACTGATAATATTGACAAAATAGTCTTGACTTGTTTGCAGCAAGCAGCGTGGAAAAAGGCGTGGTGATGGCCTCTTGGGAAAACATCCCCCAAAATCCTTCCTGTCTGATCTTAAACAGTGGTCAGCAATTGTGTATCTTCACTCATAGCTCCCAGTTGGAAAGCCTGCCAACTGGGAGGATTCAGTAGGCACAGGTCTTCGGTACCGTGCCCATCCTGGAAATTTCAGCACATCTGAAGGTGATGTTTGCGCTTTATGGGGCCACATGGATAAAGCAAAAGAAATAGTCACTGTTGCGGACTGTGTGGTTCCAGCCCCTGTAAAACCAAGGAAGGAATCGTCCCAGGCTCTCCAGTGCAACTGCGCGCCTCTCACTGTCAGGTGCCAAAGGCCTTCGTTTACAACAGCTTCTGAAATGTAATGTCCAGTAATAAATAAATGATACAATATAGCAAGATTCCTAGAGAAGAGAAGTTTAAATAACCAAAGGTGAATCTAACTGTGTCTTCAGCTGCAGAGAAACTTCTTTTACATCAACACAGCCTCCATTTATGAGATTTGGATGTGCCCTAACTACAGGCAACAAGGTTTTAAAGCTTTTATTTAAACTGGGAAATTAATGATCTGCCAAAACTACTAACTCCCAGCTACATGTGTAGTGGAGCACCAGATATCATCATGAGTAATAATAGAAATGATCATGCTGTATTGTGCCTGCCAGCGTATTATTTAATTATTAACTGAGATGGAGGAGCTCAGTAATCGAATAGAAGTCCCCTTCAGAAATATTAAGACATTGAATAATTTAAACTTGATTGATCTGATCTCATTTACTCAACCTTCCCCCCTCATTTTAAAAGATAAAATAATTAACAGCAATGGCCTGTGTCGTGTGTGTTGCAGCTGAAGCCCTCTGCAGGGAATACACTTCAGGAGCAGATCCCCGGTGTCTGATTCAACCTCACGTTGCTGCCCTGTTCCCCCCAAAAATGCTGTCTGCTGAAAAGCTGCCAGGCTGGCTTGTATGGAGGTGGAGAGTGCTGAGAGACCTGCTTTTGACCCCCCAGTGCTGCTTCAGCTATAAAACTCAAGGGCAGGGAATACAGCTGTCACTCACAGGGGCCTTGCAAGAGCAGCAAACACCTTGTACCCCTGCAGGGGCCAAGCTAACCTAGCTGGAAAGATCAGTGGGGAATTCATTTACCTCTTTCTATTTTACTGTCTGCATAAAATGGCCTGGAAGCTAAAAGAGTTAATTATCTCCCTCTCGATACTTTTCTTCTTCTTTTCCACTTGGTTAGACCTGGCTCTCATAGCACATCTTTTTATTGGTTTTAAATGATGTACAGCAGTGAATTATTGCCCCAGTAGATAGGCGTGAATGATAGAGAAGGTAGTGGCCAAACAGCATGTGAAGGAATAACCACTCCTGTGCTTTAGCTTAGCTTGCCAGCTTCATTCCATTAAAAGCAGCTTCTTGCAATTATGTATTCCACACCATTTTTTTTTTCTTCCTGTCTTACAATTTTGCAGTTGATGGTGGATTCCCTGGCTAGTTTCATGGCTGTGAAACTGCAGAAAGCCAGAGGGCCTGTCAGTAATACAGTGTGTTAGCATGAACAGTGCAGTAAAAATTCATAATGCGATGAGTCAGTTTGATTCTGTTTTTTACAGAGCTGCATCTCCCTGTCCATCCAGTTTCATTCTGTTGAGGTTAGAGGCTTTCACTTAAATGACGGTTCTTTTTATAAACTTCAAAGTCATCCTGAGGTTAAGTTCTGTCTCACTGAGGAGCAATTCTGAAAGAGTCTGGCTAACCAATGTGAAATTTCCCGGACCACATCTCTACATTTTTTGGACGGCTACAGCTAAATCTTGGCAGGATGGTGAAAAAACAGGTCATAACACAGCAATCTGCTCTGGTTTCATCCTTTCTTCCTGGTATAGGTCGGAGGCAACATGTGTTAGATCATTGGAGGGAGGAAAACCTCTTGCAGACAGAGGTCAAACAACAGTCTGATGTAGCTTCATTGCCAAGGCTTATGCATGCAGTAGGGCTTTCCAGGAACCAAAAATGCAAAAAGTGTTTCTTTGATTGCTGAAGGATCCTTTGTGATAATGAGGGTGATTTCAAAAAGGAAAAGCAGGACAGACAAATCTGGTTCAATTAAGCTGATGGGCAGGTAAAATAAAGTCACAAGATGGGAGACACAGAGCTTGTGCTGAGTGATGAGTTAGTAGTTAGTGGACACTGAGGTCCCATAAGTTCCACCTTGTCTGGCAAAAATGTGACTTTATCCTGTAGCAGACCATCCTGCCTGGAAGAGACCATTTCAAAGAGGATAAATCCCTCTCTGTGGCTATGACCCTAAGTCTCTTAGTTGAACCTGATTTCACAGTATATTTGTAGGGTGTCGGGGCTCACCCAACTTGAGCTTGTTTCTAATTCTGTCAAGACCCAAACAAGTCATAAGGTATTCTGGTGGTAACCATCGTGGTGATAGTCTTTGGTCACTTAAGGAGGCTAAGTGAAGTCAGTCATCTGTGGGTTGACCTGATGAATCCTTCTTCCCTGTTTTCAGAATAGCAAAAATTAGAGAGTCATCTCACCTCTTTGGAGCCTCCTCTCTCCCTCAAGGAAAAAGATTAATCAGAACCACTAAGCATGACAGAAATAACCAGGAGATTGTAGAGCAATAAATATATGTTATCAGACAGAAAGAATCTATTATTCTGGCATTAGAATTCAGCTCTATTTTAGTAATCTATTAAAACAGAGATGGTTGGCTAGTTGGTTAATTAAGCAAAAAAGCATGAGAGAGAACATGATTATCTGGAGTTGATCACTTGTGTTTATACAAGCCGTGTGCCTATGATGTACTGTCAGATTTATTGTAATACTGTCGTGTAG